CGAACACAAGCCGGACCTTACCGGGCTTGTTCGGGTTTTCGACACCAAAGTGTGGCAAATACCATATCCGGTCACTTTTCTCCGCGGCTTCATGCGGTTCCAACCGCCTCGCGTATCCTTTTGCAACATAATCCTTGATGATCCGACAGTATTCCAGAGCCAACTGTTCGTTGCGCTTCATCTTCTTCTCGACGTTGACCAGTCGTTTGTATGCCATCTCATAGCTCTGTGGCAGCTTAACGTGGTCGTCCTTCCAGAGTAGTCCCGTTTGGTAGCGACGCCCCACTCTCATAGTGGTGTCTTCTAGTATCCTTTGTGCCCGCATGTCGTCGCTGGCTGCGACCTGTGACACGAGCTTCACACCAAAGTTCTCCAAATCGAAGTAATCCTCTACCATTTTTTCCACCGTATCATCCATCGACACGGCAAGTAGGCAGGACCTCGGTGACGGCGAAGTGAACTGCCCCTTTACGGGCCCGAACACAACCCAGCCTAGCTTGGTGGCAGCTGCATACGGTCCCTCACTGGCAAATCGCCTAGTTCTCAGTGGCAATCCCAGGTGTCCATGATCCAGGCCGATGAGCAACTTCGGCACCACATTGCTGTAAGGCTTCATCGGCAGGCGCGCATCCTTATGCACACCCTGGACATCCTGCCGACTTAACGTCTGCATCGGCAGGCTCAAGCTCGAAATGGCATACACGTTTCTCAGTACATGGCGAGTGGACTTTCCAATTCCACTTATTTTCAGACTCACTACGTTCGTGGTCTCTCTGGATGCCCTTCCTCCAAACCATTGGATATTTAGCTGTCGGCGCTCTCCTTGTATTCCCAGATCCGATCATCGTAACGGAGGATCCTTCATCAAAGAGCGCGTACGTATTCACCGTCCGTCCGGCTCCGTACAGCGTTACTGGCAGTATACGGAACAGAAGGCGGCCTCCCTCGGCGTCAACGCAGCTTAGATTCCTCTGCACAGGCAAATCCGCTTCCTGCGGTGCCCTCCTCTCCGGGCTGTTTATGGCTGGCTGCCGGTTCACCTCGTGGTCCCTGTGACCGTCTCGTGGTAAATATCTCCTGTCCGGGCTGTGTCTGGAAACCGCTGGCTGCTGGTTTCCCTCGTGGTCCCTGCGACCACCTCGTTGCTGCGGCCTTTGCTCATTGTCCGCGTCATGCAGCAGACGGTGATGCAACTTGTGACAGTCGTTAATCTGGCACTCCCTATGCACATTGCAGAATCTCGTCGTGTGCCCACTTCGTAAGCATGAGAAGCAGAGCTTATGCCTCCTCACCATGCTCCACCTGCCCGGTGGCAGAGTTCCAATAAATTCCTGGCAGTTCGTAACTGCGTGTTGTCCTCCACAGATTGGACAACATCCATGCCGATCATCCTTTCGATCGCATTTCTTGGCGTCGATATTAGCATGCAGAACTCGACGCTTCGGCTCCTTTCCCTCTACATCCAAAACGGTACACAAAACGTTTGCGTAGCCCTGTAACCATGCGCTGAAGTGCACTATAGTGGGAAAGGGCTGGATCGTCGCAGCATACTTAGCCCAATCCACGCGCTTGCTCGTAGGAAGCTTGGCCACAAGCTCCTCCATGAGGGATGGGTTCCCCAGATGCTGCTCCGCGTTCGCCGCCTGCAAGAAAGCCATGAGGTTACTCACTCGGGTAGCGAAGGGAACAATCTTCGCTAGATTGTGCTCTGAAATTGGTTGCACTTCTCGTATGTTGTTCAGCTGACTGCGTATAAGCTGCTCCGGTCGGCCAAACCTAAAGCGCAGCTGCTCCATCACGGCGCTGACATTCCCTGGATAAATCAATAGCGACTTCACTGCCTCGCGAGCGTCATCCTTTAGCGCCTTCAACAACCTTTGATTGTTCTCCAAATCCGTGCAGTTATACGCCCGTGTCGTCTCCGTGAACGCACAGCTGAAAATCGGCCACTCCTCTGGCTGCCCTCTAAATATAGGCAGATCTGGGAGCTTTCTTGGCCCGTATGTTCCTTGAATTCCATTCGACGTCAATATAGTGGGGGATCCGACAAGTGGCGATACTGATGCCACGTTGCGCATATTCACACCCGGTAGTGTGAATCCATGCGCCGTCTGCGCAGTGCTTGCTGTGAACGGCGGCCCACTGCAAGGTGGCGGCCCACTGCAAGGTGGCGGCAGCGTGCAGGACGCGCTGTGCCCACCGACACTGTGATAGGGCGCCGACCCGACCCCGTTACATGAGGTCTCCTCAACCGATGTCGCTAATGGCGGACCGCTCCAAAATGGCGGCCGGCCTGACGCTACACTGTGCGCGCCAACTGTGACTGGCGCGCAATTGGCGGTGCTCACGCTTCCCAGGGCTTTAACCTGCTGCAGCTCCTTTTCCAGCGCTGCGATCCTCGCCAGGAGATCCAACGTGAAATCCTCTCTGGCATTGATGTTCGCAGTTGAGGCTGTAGTGCTTCCATGTTGGGAAGCTGATGTAATCTCCGTAGTGGCTGGGCTAGGTATAGCCGCTGCCGTGGTTACGCCTACCAGTGGCCAGGTTTCTGTTTCACTACTCACTGGTTGCTGATCTTCTCGTGTTGTTATAGGGGTGGCTTCCCCTCCATTCAGCCGGGCGCTCCTCCTGGGTGAGCGCTGCATCTTCCCGATTCCAATAGGGCGCTGACTTAGCGCACTTCAAATGGCGTACCTGTGCCTTCTTGTCGCTGGCTGCGACCACTGACGCCGCCCGCGTCTCCTTGTCGCTGGCTGCGACCACTGACGCTACCCGCGTCTCCTCGTCGCTGGCTGCGACCACTGACGCTACCCGCGTCTCCTTGTCGCTGGCTGCGACCACTGACGCTACCCGCGTCTCCTCGTCGCTGGCTGCGACCACTGACGCTACCCGCGTCTCCTTGTCGCTGGCTGCGACTTCTCCATCAACACGTGGGACGCTGGCTGCGCTCCCAAGTTGCTTTGGCAGTCTCTATCGGACTGCGAATAAAAGGAGTTGTCGTGCGTCACTTGGATCTGCCTTTAACGGCTCCACATCTCCAGTTCCCGCCAAACAATAGGGAAGCCTCTTGGCCCGGGGCCGACAATTAAATGTGAAGTTTGAAGTGTTTTATTCTGTGGAAAATTAACTTAACCTTAATTTTACACTTATATTATAACTCTCACACGCGCTTACCGCAGTGTGTCCTCCTAATTCTCGCACGACAATAAGACGCTCAATTTTGGCGGTTAACTTAGCGATAAAAGTATGCCCTTTTTCTCTTGGGCTCAAAATCCATTAGTATTTTTTACGTTATTCTTAATATACTAACTACGCCTATCGATTACAATGTTCGATCGTCGACACAAATAATACAAATTTTCAGCAGATTTTCATTAAATTTGAGATAAAGCCATTTTATATCAGTCTTAAATTTTGTGTAAAATTTTATCAAAATCGGACAACTATATCACATAGGTGCCATACAAACGATTGTTAGATGTGGAGCGAAAATGCAAATCTTTGAATGTAAAACTGCAAATATAATATGTATAGGATAATGAAATGAAAGCAGGTATTACTTCATTGTTTTTTAATATTAATATATATATTTTATATTGTATGGATTCCTAGTCATCGAAGTTCTATCTGCAAGGGTATATAAACTTCGGCGTGCCGAAGTTAGCTTCCTTTCTTGTTTTTTTTTTTAAATTTGCTACTAGGCGATCAAACATTAAACGGCGTACAAGTGCTCTCTTCGTAAAAATGGTTTACATATATGAATAATGCTTTTTTTTAAGGCGATCATTAATTGGACGGCGTACACGTGCAGCACCTCGGCAATAAAAAGACAAAATGTAAATTTAGACTTGATTCGCGTTGAATTCAAATACGATTCTACAATCGCCTACAAAGGTCTCAGTATTGGTTCATTATCTGTCATATGTCCGCATTGCAATGCGGCAAGGTAATATTGCCCTATTTAATGGATCCTGTAGAGGCATTGTATTCGCTTCTCTATAAAAGACCAATCAAACCATATTCAGACGTATGCACAACAATATAATGGATCCTTTCAAATGTCTTCATTTGGTCGAGTAATAATGTTAACCAACAGTACAGTCCGTGCTTTACGGAAAGGAAAATCAATATTATGAAAAATAAAATTCCTTTGTTTTCATTCAAATTTCTTCCAAACATTCAAATTCAAGGGCAAATTCACCATCGAGTAAGCGCTTTTGTACCACCAACTTGCAAAAATAAAAAATTCCCCCAGATATATGTTATTAGTACATCGGCAGTTTAACTAAGTCAGCGTTATGCTATTCTTATTAAAACTAGATTGCAAATTATCAAGCAATTGCAAAAACTTCTGCATGAGCATAATGAATTGGACAGATTGTTCAAAACCTCATTAGATACAGAATATTACTATTAGAAAAAGACCCCCCCCCCCTGGAAGCCCTACAAGACAATTCAATGCTTCCACAATCAATGAAGTGGCAGCGGTAGATATTATTCTTATATGATGCACTTAAATACTTTTGCTTTTAGAATGCTCTGAGATGTTTTCTTATACGAAAAATAAAGTAATTGTTGGTGTCAAGCCAGACTACAACGAATGTTTTCGATCTGATTATTTTTAAGACGTCGTAATCACTAATCCGTAATTACTGATCCATTACCGATCAGTGATCAAGTTCTGCTAAACACCAACAATTCGTTTGTTTGCCATCTGTTTTTGTATCGATCGATATTTTAACCGATTATCAGTGATAATCATTTTTGGAATGTTAAAAATTAATCACTCTGTTCACTTTATTTTGCTTATCATAGGACCCACTTTCGTTTTCGCACGTATGTACAAACTTATTCTTATATTATAGTACTTACCTTTACAAAATGCAATACTGCACAAAAACAAATAACATCGATACAGAAATTGGTATCCCACAATTTCATTTTAATGTATTTTCGATAAAATATTTGTCTAGATTATCGAATGACATTAAAGTGAACTAGTTCTTTTACGACATCGAAACTACAACTTAAATTGTTTTTAAAAAGAATAACGTTGCGTTGTTTTACGTATGCTAAGTGTAAGCATAAATTATTATTGTAAGTGCTTACACAATGATTTACGTTCATTACTTCATATAATCCATATATAAATGTAAGGTAAGCACTTATGTATGTATCTATCATGTTAATTTTGAAGTTCTTCCAATTATGTGCTACACAAGATTTGTTACGATTTTCCGTGCCTACTCGCCATGTTATACATTTTTAATTTTAAAAACAAAAGCAATCGGCATCAGAAAGCTGTACAAATGATATGTACTCATTCGTGTGTGTTTACATAGATATGTATGTGTAATTCTTAGTAAGTTGTTATTTAGTTTGTGAAATATTTATGTAGACATGTTTCTGTTTTTTTTTTCCCCCCAATTTGTTATATGTTATATGTATGTACATATACAAATAAATACATATATTGAAACTATTTTGTTTTTAGCAAAAAAAAGAAACATACTCATTAAGGGGCGTGGCTATACATATGTAAATAATTTTACATATGTATTCACTTGCCCTACTATGTATAATTAGTATACCTATACTAACATTGATTTATTTGCATATATATGTACATACATACATATACATATGTATCAGTCAGAAAAGAATAAGTGTCTACTACTAGGTGTAGACTACGTAAAATAAATCTGAGGAAATGTAAAAATAAATGAACGTGCCATTTCTAAATTGTGTTTGTCAACTGCGGCCCAGTAACATCTGTAGATGCCCTGCAGTACCTGTCATCAGTAATTAATCAACGTTTCATCAACAGTCAAGGGGGTGCTGTTGATGATTAATCTATGACAGGCCACACAAACTATTAATGAATTTAACATGGGCATGTCCTAGGCTGTCATCAATAGAAATTTATCAACAATAAATCGATGATACATCGATGTTTCATCAACAACGACATCAACAATTCATAAACAATAAATCGATTATTCATCAATTCATCGATGTTTCATCAACAATTCATCGATGTTTCATTAACAATTCATCATCAATTCATCGATGTTTTGTTGATGACACATCGATGTTTCATCAATGAATCATCAACAATAAATTAATTACATATTTTAATTTATTCACTTTTTTCATATTCTTTTAAAAACTAGCATAATAAAATTAAAATTATACATTAAATAATAAAAATAATTAAATTAAAAATAGTTCTTATAATAATAATACAAAATAAATTAAAAATAAAAATAATTATAATAATAATAATAATAAAATAATAATAATAAACATGAAAAATTAAGTATTGAGGTACTGGAAAACGCTCGGACCGCATTCTAAAACGCCTTCATCCCTTTTCCTTTTTTTTGTGTTGTGTCTCCAAATATTTTGCGAAACGAAGGCTTTTAGTCAACAGTTTGGCAGGTGGCTCCGTTGCATCAACTTGACTTATTGCATCTGAAAAAGGAAAATATGGAAAATAAATCAAAATCAAAATTTAAAAAAAAAAATACATAATTACCTAAGAGTGCTGAGTAGAACTTCTTAATGTCTTGAAGCCTTTTCTTACACTTCGTACCATCGATGTATCACAATAGCTGCATGCAGACACGAAGTGGGAGGAGGGGAAGATGTACACAAAATAGAAGACAAAATTGATACGAAAGTAAACTTTACATAAAAACTCACCTGATATATAATTTCAATTATTGGAAACTGAACAGAATATGCATATATGTATAATTTTTTTTTCAAATTTGGCCTGCGCACACTTCTTACTTAGCTCACTGTTTAACTGCCGCCGGTGGTAGCTCAAAGGGTTGAGACAACAAACACTTGAACCCGTAGCACTGCCGGTCCGGGTTCGAGTCCCGGTAGTAAGTAGCATGGTCACCCCCGGACCTTCCTTCCATTTTCCATTGAACTTCTCCCCTCACTATTGTAAAAAAGTTGCTATACTACAGTAATTGTACAATAATAAAATTCAGCTCAATAAATAAGCATTTTTTTTTTTTTTTTTTAAACTGTTTAACTCCAAGTGAAAACACGAAAAAGGGAAAAGAAAAAAAAAGGACCGTGCCTCCAACAACAAAACGAACAACGATCCGGAAAAACGGATCCTCAAGTCCGTTTTTTTCTCTTATTGTTCGTTTCGTTTCACAAAGTCCCGGTTGGTTAACTTGTGTATGCTTCCATTGGAAACAGGGTATGAAGGATATATCGGACTAGGCAAAAAGTTACTTAAAATGTTATTGCAACTCAAACTATTTATTCGATATGCAATTATTATTTCATTCGCGTTTATATTTAAAGAATATTTATTTCTAATACTATTATTATAATTGTTCATGATAATATATTATACACATAGAAATGCTAAATTTCTAGGGTGCGAAACAGTTGGTTCGATTTATTTGCTTTTGGATCATCTCCCTCGTTTGAAGAGTGAGTGAGGCAGTGAGAGAGACAATCACCATGGCAACATAAGAGCGTAGGCTCCGTACAAGTCGCAGTCGGCAGAGCGTCGACTTTATAGAAGTCGCAGTCGGCGCGTTGATAACAGTGGCTATTGATGACATGCGGTACTGCAGGGTATATATACATACATATCTGTATAAGTATATGTTTGTAAGAACACCCTGCAGTACCGCGTGTCATCAATAGCCACTGTCATCAACCCGTCATCAACGCGCCGACTGCGACTTCTATAGAGTCGACGCTCTGCCGACTGCGACTTCTACCGAGTCGACGCTCTGCCGACTGCGACTGCATACCAGCATTTTTTATTCCGCGCTTGTTTTCATCGTTTTGTCTGCCGTCTGATAGGTTTCGAAGAGCTCCACAAGCATTTCTAAAAACAAACAAAAAAAAGTTATATACAATGTACTAAACATTCATTGAAGAGAAGAGGTTACATTAATGAAGGACAGATGAGGTATATAATTGCTTGCTTTATAATATTTTTTACACGAATTTGCGAAGTAATGTATAGATGTATAGATAATTTTGCATAATGAATCAATAATCAATGTAATGCATTGTAAAGTTTTAAATCAATTAAAGCAAAATTGGCGAAGTTAGGATTATTTTTATATCTGCCGGGTTTTCGTTTTACACTGAATTTCAGTCGGTGCCCTCATAACTTCAAAACTCCTGCACCGATCATTTTGAAATTTAAAAAACTACACTCCTGTTCATAATTATACGACACTTATAAAGTTTTTGTTTCAGCGGTCAAAGGAGAATGGAAATAAAAGTATGCCGAATAATAGCACAAAGAGTTGTGCACAAAATGCGCTATTCTTATCCTTGTTTGCATCACACGTTTTCAAGTAACGGTAAAAAATGACTCGCGCCTTAATTTAGGCCACGCTACAAGTGTTTCAAAATGATACGACACATTCCAATTATTGCGGCTAAAGAGGAAGGTTTAGTGCTTAGTTTTTTTATAATTTTTTTTAATAAAATGCCGTATGGTAGCTAATTAAGCGAAAGAGTGAAGGGAAAAATTAAGGCGTATAACGAGTCTGGCTTTAATGTTAGCCAAATATAGCGACTAATGGGTCGAACAAGCTGTGTTATTACTAACTTTTTGAAAAATGTGGATGGGTACGGTGTCAGGCGTAGCTCTGGAAGAAAGTCGAAGCTATCAGATCGCGACAAACGTCGAATACTTAACAATGCAAGCAATTCTTTTTCATCGTGTGCCCCACTTGCTGCGTGTTGCAGTCGTCCTGTGTCCCGTAGGACTATCTGACGAACATTACTGATTTCTGACATTTCTGATGAGAAAAAATTTCATCTTGATGGCCCAGATGGGTTTCGTCCCTATTGGCTTAATTTGGGTAATGATCCCCTTATGTTGCTAACATGCAATTTTGGAGGCGGATCAGTTATGGCTTGGGGAGCCTTTCATGCGTCTGGTACGCTTGAATTGTGCTTTACAAGCTCAAAAATTAAAAGTGCAGACTACAAAAATGTGTTACAAGATTGTCTTCTGCCATTTTCGGATCAAAATAAGGACCAAAATTTAGTTTTTATGCAGGATAAGGCGACCATACATAAAAGCAAAGAGACACAACGGTTCCTCAATGACAATAAAATAAATGTTTTGAATTGGCCTGCTTGCTCTCCTAACCTTAACCCGATTAAAAACATCTGGGGTATCTTAGCCAGGCGAGTTTACGCCAACAACAATAAAGACGGATGAAAGTCTTAAAAATGAAATTTTAAGACAATGGTCTCTCTTGGACCGAAATGTTTTAAAAAACTTAATTTATTCAATGCTTACATTTATTTTTGAAGTGGAACAAGGCGCCGTTATAAACTATTAATATTTAGTTATAAACAATTAAACCAATAAAATATTAACATTAAACAAAAATATTGAAATGTGTCGTATCATTTTGAAACACTTGTAGCGTGGCCTAAATTAAGGCGCGAGTCATTTTTTACCGTTACTTGAAAACGTGTGATGCAAACAAGGATAAGAATAGCGCATTTTGTGCACAACTCTTTGTGCTATTATTTGGCATACTTTATTTTGATCTACGGTGTGTTGCCATTCTCCTACGACCGCTGAAACAAAAATTTCATATGTATCGTAAAATTATGAACAGGAGTGTAGGTGACATACAAACGATCGTTAGATGTAGAGGAAAAATGCAAATCTGTGAATGCAAAACTGTTAATATGATATGTATAGGTAAATGAAATGAAACATAAATATATATAATTTATATTGTATGGATTCCTAGGTGTGCCGAAGTTAGCTCCCTTTCTGGTTTTGACTATATTTAATATCAGAATGTAACGAATGTTCACGGAAGATTTATTTGTTATTTTAAAGAAAAAATTGTTTCCATTCTCTTCTGATCTTAGTTTGGAAATAGTCATGGATCATTTAACTGATCACTCGGACATCGATTTTTCTGAACTTCCGTGTCTACCTGAACTTTTATGGATTCCTTGGCTGTGTGCGCTTTAGCAAGGATCTTACTTAGTCTTGCCGTATTTTTTTCTGTTTAATATTGCTACGTAGTGGTTTTTTCTGGATTTTTTCTTGATTACGTTTTTGCGTTTTGTATGATGCCCATTCTTTGGACACATAACTTGTCCTAAAGGATTTCCATACTCTCTTTCTAAAATTAATTTTGCTCCTAGGTCCACTTGTACCTTCACCTGAATCTGCCCCTCCCTCGAAAAACCTCGGTACACGGAAATTCAAAGACTTGTATATTCTCTTTTTTACATATTGATGATCAAGAAGTGACTCAACTCTGTTATTGGTCTCCGATCTTTTTCAGAGCGCATGTATTGTTTCTTAATTACTATACATGCTCTCGTCTTTTCCGTCGTCTTTTTCCAAAGTAATATATATCCTGGAAGCCTCAGGATAATGACTTGTGCCTTCCCTGGTCCAAAGCTCTTGTAATGCCCAAAGTCGATATCCGGCGTTAGAGCTGCGCTTCAAATTAATCTGCACGACTTTCGGCTTTAATATTGGTGGGAGTTTATCGAAGGATTTGTGGTCGATGACCATGTCACTCAACAACTGTTGGTGTCATCGACTTCTTCAAGTATCTCATCCATCTCGGTTAGAAAAACCTTAATTTTGGTATTATTCCTTACTGGACTTTATTTAACTTATTTAAACTGCGGCAGACAACGTTGATTTATAAGGAGGGAGGAACTGCCGGCTGACGGTCCTTTGTATGGACATCCGTGTTCTGAACTATTATTTATTATGAAATGAAAGCAGGCATTACATCATTGTTGGTTTTAACATAAATATAATGTATGTAATATATATATAAATATAATAATTATAATATATAATATATGTATATATATAAATGTATTAAATCTGTTCTGTTCTTTGTTTTTCTTTTCATTTTTCATTTCACTTCTAAAGTATAATATATAAACTTAGGCATTCCGAAGTACGCTTTCTTTCTTGTTAACTAATTTAAAATCGCAAAATGATTGTAACGAATAATAGAATAAATATGTTGGAAGAGATTGATCAATGTATCATTTAAATTACACGAAAATTTAAAACAGAATAGAAACAGAAACCCTCCGTCTCGCCCCTTTTTTTTTGCTTAACCTTATAATATTTATTTACACTTAATTACACTTATTTCTATACAAACTAACATTGGATTACGATTTCTATCTTTTACTAAATAGATTTATTATGAATCCTGAAAATAAATTGAATATGGATCCAACTTTGGCCTCCGAATCTGGAAATATACAAACACAGTATGCTTCTTTTCAAAACTTTGAACAATTTACGACATCCGGATATACAAACACTCCTATATATATTACGAAACCGTCAGCAATCGGCCAGATTTCGCATATTTCCCCGCATTGTTCAGTTCTCGGGCCTCAAAACAAAATTGAAACGACTTCTACAGACATTCCCGGAAATGAAGATCATACATTGACATCAACAGTAAGATATGTAAAAGCTGCTCAGTTCGAAGAAGCGCCAGAATATAGCCTTGGTGGTGTATCTTGTGGTATAGAGTCTCAGTATACAGATGAATCCGTTGTACCATACTGTTATACTTCGGAAACTAATTATACGGGAACTCAAAGCACAAGCACAAACAAGAAACAATTTCCTGGAAGACCGTATGATGATAGCCTTAATGGGTCCGAACCTGTTGTGGATGTCCAAGGTCGAACGTTCGAAGGTCCAGTTTTAGAATTTAAATTACCACAGTTTGCCATGAGTGCATTAAGTACTGCTCCTCAAACATTGGGAGAAAAAGAGGACTATATAGGGGAATCAGAAAATGATCTTTGTTCACCAATGAGATGGCGTGATCCCAATCTTTCGGAAGTAATAAGCTTTTTAAGTAATCCGAACAACTCTATTAAGGCAAATGCAGCAGCATATTTACAACATTTATGTTATATGGATGACCCCAATAAGCAACGTACAAGATCGTTAGGCGGAATACCACCTTTGGTTCGACTGCTATCCTATGACTCTCCAGAAATACATAAGTGAGTAAACAGTTAAATGTCCATATTTGTTTAAGCATGTTGTAATTTTGTATGTCTCATATGTCGTATTGCATTTGTGTTAGTGCGTGTGTGAATGTAAATGGTGGCTATTTGCATAGCTGAGTCATGGAACATTAATTGTAATATTGTCTCGAGGGCTGAAACTGCACGGCTACAGGGTAGCATCGCTGTCGCCACTGACTGACTATCAAACAACAAACTTTATGTTCATGATTCTGACCTTGGTCATCAATAAAACCCAAACCACACAAGCAAATCCAATCATTTTTATACCCTTGCAGGGTATTAAAATTTCAGTCAGAAGTTTGCAACGCAGTGAAGGAGGCACCTCCGACTATATAAAGTATATATATTCTTGATCAAGACCAACAGCCGAGTCGATCTAGCCATGTCCGTCTGTCCGTCTGTCCGTTTCTACGCAAACTAGTCTCTCAGTTTTGACGCTATCTGAATGAAACTTTGCAGTTAGTCTTCTATATACTCTCACTCATATATATGTCGGAACGGGCCGGATCGGACAACTATATCATATATCTGCTATAGGAATGATCGGAAAATTTAAAAAAAAAAAATTATAACATTTTTATTTTTCAACAGAATTTGATTAAATTTGAGATATAGCCATTTCATATTATTCTACAATTTTGTGTAAAATTTTATGAAAATCGGACGACTATATCATATAGCTCCCATAGGAACGATCGAGAAATTAATTCAATTAAAAAGTATAACATTTTCAGTTTTCAGCAGATTTTCATCAAATTTGATACATAGCCATTTTATAAGAAATAAAAGAAGTTTATAAAATTAAAGATTATAACTTCTTCAGTTTTCACCAGATTTTTACAAATATCATTTTATTTTAATCTAAATTTTGTGTAAAGTTATAAAAAAACCGGACTACTATATCACGAACGATCAAAAAATGAATACAAGTAAAAATAATAACGTTTTCAGTTTTTAGCAGATTTTCATTAAATTTGAAATATATATTTATATATATTTTATATCAGTCTTAAATTTTGTTGCAAATTTTATGAAAATCGGACGACTATATCACATAGGTGCCACACAAACGATCGTTAGATGTGGAGCAAAAATGCAAATCTGTGAATGTAAAACTGAAAATATAATATGTATAGGTGAATGAAATGAGAGCAGGTGTTACTTCATTGTTTTTTTTTAACATTAATATATATATTTTATATTGTATGGAAGGAATCCAGGAAGTCATCGAAGTTCTATCTGCAAGGGTATATAAACTTCGGCGTGCCGAAGTTAGCTTCCTTTCTTGTTGTTATTATTATTCTCAATTCTCAATTAATTTATTACTTATTTAGGAAAGATAAATTCAAATATGTACTAATAATAAAAAAAAACAAGAAAGGAAGCTAACTTCGGCACGCCGAAGTTTATATACCCTTGCAGATAGAACTTCGATGACTTCCTGGATTCCTTCCATACAATATAAAATATTTATATTAATGTTAAAAAAAACAATAAAGTAATACCTGCTCTCATTTCATTCACCTATACATATTATATTTTCAGTTTTACATTCACAGATTTGCATTTTTGCTCCACATCTAACGATCGTTTGTATGGCACCTATGTGATATAGTCGATTTTCATAAAATTTGCAACAAAATTCAAGACTGATATAAAACGCTATATTTCAAATTTAATGAAAATCTGCTGAAAACTGCAAACGTTATAATTTTTAATTGTATTCATTTTTTGATCGTTCGTTATATAGTAGTCCGGTTTTTTTTATAACTTTACACAAAATTTTGATTAAAATAAAATGATATTTTATGAAAATCTGGTGAAAACTGAAGAAGTTATAATCTTTAATTTTATTAACTTCTTTTATTTCTTATAAAATGGCTATGTATCAAATTTGATAAAAATCTGTTCAAAACTGAAAATGTTATACATTTTAATTGAATTAATTTCTCGATCGTTCCTATAGGAGCTATATGATATAGTCGTCCAATTTTCGTAAAATTTTACACAAAATTGTTGAATAATATGAAATGGCTATATCTCAAATTTGATTAAATTCTGTTGAAAGCTAAAAATGTTATCGCCACCGCTATTGTCAGTCTTCCGACAACAGCCACCGCCATTCTCATTCCTCTCAAATTTCTCGATCGTTCCTATGGGAGCTATATGATATAGTCGTCCGATTTTCATAAAATTTTACACAAAATTGTAGAATAATATAAAACGGCTATATCTCAAATTTGATGAAAATCTTTTGAAAACTGAAAATGTTATACTTTTTAATTGAATTAATTTCTCGATTGTTCCTATGGGAGCTATATGATATAGTCGTCCGATTTTCATAAAATTTTAGACAAAATTGTAGAATAATATAAAACGGCTATATCTCAAATTTGATGAAAATCTGTTGAGAACTGAAAATGTTATACTTTTTAATTGAATTAATTTCTAGATCGTTCCTATGGGAGCTATATGATATAGTCGTCCGATTTTCATAAAATTTTACACAAAATTGTAGAATAATATGAAATGGCTATATCTCAAATTTGATCAAATTCTGTTGAAAACTAAAAATGTTATAATTTTTTTTGTAAAAATTTTTCGATCATTCCTATGGCAGCTATATGATATAGTCGTCCGATCCGGCCCGTTCCGACATATATACGAGTGAGAGTATATAGAAGACTAACTGCAAAGTTTCATTCAGATAGCTTCAAAACTGAGAGACTAGTTTGCGTAGAAACGGACAGACGGACAGACGGACATGGCTAGATCGACTCGGCTGTTGGTCCTGATCAAGAATATATATACTTTATATAGTCGGAGGTGCCTCCTTCACTGCGTTGCAAACTTCTGACTGAAATTATAATACCCTGCAAGGGTATAAAAAACCAAATAGAGTCACATAAACTCAACATTGCACGTTTTATGTTAAGTACCATTCTTTAGTTTTCCACATCTCTGGAACAATTAAAAAATTTTATTTATTCATTTTTAATAATAATAATAAATTAATAATAATATCCCCAAGCATTAAGTCGCAGGCCGGAAAAATGATTAAAAAACTCAGATGCTCGACTAATGATGTCCAACATGCGAAAAAAAACTAGCTCTTAACACCAATGGTACCTGTCTGGTCCTAAACGGGTATGCCAGCGAATGGACTGCTAGAAGAGCATTGTAGAACATCCGATACATATCGAGCAAAAAAAGATAAGTTTTCGTTACAAGAATTCCAAAAGTCGCTTAAAATTTTGCTAAAAATCTCAAAAATTTGACGATAGACGATTGATAACGAGTTGTCTGGCCTTATGAGCTTAAATTTAATCGTTTTTAGAATGATGGAAATCAGTATTGTTGGATTCGACCCTCAAATCGAATTCAAAGAAAAACTTTACATGGTTGCATACCGGATCTCTACAATTAGTTAAAGCAATTATGAAAATGGATGACTACCTTTAAATACACCAAGAAGAATATCGTTTTTCAACAAGATGATGTTCCGAACCACACAGCCAAAATAGCTAAGGATGCAGTGGCCTGCACAAAGTCCCAACCTGAATCCGATTGAAAATCTTTGGTCAATTGGAAAAATAACGGATCGGGTTGTACGAAGCAGCTCCAAAATAAGATGACCAACCTTTGGGGTCATGTTGCAGTGAAACCGAGTAGAATTCGGAAGAATATTATTGAAATTTTGGTGAGAGCATGCCAAAAATCATAACAAAAGCTAATAAGTTATTGAATTTGGTTTGAAACGAGCCAAATTTAGTTTGTGACTTTATTAAGTTTTTTATTCGAAGTATTTGAATTAATCTGATAAGTTGTCTCCTTCCTAAATTTTTAATGGCCAAAGTCAGAATCATAAACATACATTAAATTTTGCTCGCCAATTTTGCTTATCTGAACTTGCTCTCCGCTTTATCTCTAGTTTCAGATATATACACTTAATTTGATCTCGTAATCGAAGCTTTTGTCACAAACGTTTTGTTTTTAATCTATCAGGCTTCCTTCTGTTTTTCCTTTCACAAGAATCCACCATAAATAGAACTGTCCAATTTTTTCATTAAAATTTGGTTGATTCTCTAAATCTTCATTTATATAAATGCTCTGTTTGTGTCTACTTCCTTCATAGACTTGAAAAGTTCTGAACCGTTTAAGCCCAAATTTATACACAACATGAGTTGAGGTTCCAGCTCGGTTATTGTCTACTTTTGATGTTGATAGCTTATCTGCGTTTGCGAATATATCAGTTTTTTTCGCGTTTCCCAGTGTCGCTACTGCTGCGCCCTCTACAGGCAGCCAGCTGAATCGAAGCATTTCCTGTCAAACATTCAAAACATATTGAAAGAAGAAATTGGAGATTAAAATTTTATTTTTTTGTTCAGGTTCAGTAAGAAACGAAGTCATGCCACCCAAGAAGTCGAGTTTGGGTCGTCGAAATCGCAATACAGAAACAAAAAGACGTAAGATTACGAATATGACTGAAGAAGAACGGGCCTCCATCCGAGAGACTGAGCGGCTGAGAGCAATGCAGATGCACAACGAGGAATCAGCAGAAAGACGAGCAGATAGGCTTGACAGAAAACGATTGAGAGTTAGGCAGTCGCGTTCTGCAGCAATCGATTTGATTCACTCTCAAAATAATGAACGTGACAGGGCAAGGGTAGCTGAAGCTTGGATGCTCCAGGAGGAATGGGGAAAACATTCCTCATTACATTGATTCGAGCTAACAAGGACATAGCTTTAGCTCTAGCTTCATCTGGAATCGCTGCGACACTGTTACCTGGTGGGAGGACTGCTCACTCATGAAATTGCCGTTGAACATGCAAATCATCGAGACTCCTACGTGCAACATTTCCAGAGCATCTGGCATGGGAAAAGTATTGCAAAGATGTAAACTCATTGTTTGGGATGAATGCACGATGGCACACAAAAAATCGCTGGAGGCTCTCGATTGATCATTGCGTTCG